AGGCTATGCCACGTGATAAGAGTCCTAGGCTGAGCTGCTCTAATTCACACGGTACACTGCTAACAAATCCAAATTAAATTGGACTGTTTTGCTTGCTTCTAAGTTGGGGCTATGATTTGTATCCCATCTATTTTGTACAAGAAAATCAAGGTAATTTCTTAAAAGATAATTATTATGATTAAAAACCATAATATTATCTCTTAACAATAACAAAATTATCTTAACTTTCTTATCTGACAGTCAAGAACCATGCTCACTCAACGGCCTCGATTACTCGGGCCGATGGTGTAAAGTCGAGTCCAAACACATTTGAATATTAGGAGACTCAAAATTTGGATACCAACTCTTTTTTATCCAAAAGATAAAAAATAAAAAATAAAAACTTAAGGTTTAAAGATGTGATGATTATTATAGGAGAAGCTTTATACTTAGAACGTATTTTGGAGGGCTAAAAGCCCTTTTAGATAATCAATAACACTTTTAACGGCATATGAAAAAAAAAAATTTAATGTCTCTCTAAATTCTAAAAACATTTTCCTTAAAAAGCATTTTCAAGTGTTTTTCAACAAGCACTCAAATTTAAAATAATAATAATAATACACTTTTGGTAAAAGAGCTTTTGAGCTGAATGTTTTAGCAAAAAAAAATGTTTTCAAACATGCTTAGGTAGTGTTGTGATTTACGATTCAAAACTAGAGTGTTGGATACTAACCTGAAAGCAGTGATCGACCGGACGATCAATTGAAAGAAGCAGCATCGAAGGTTTCAGACAGTTGCGACGTTCAGCAGTGGCAACCGATCGGTCGTATGGGCAGAAAGTTCAAGGTTTCGTTGCTTGTGTTTCCTGGTTCATTTTGAAGTCCTATTTGGGCTGAGTTTTTCACTTTTTGGTTGGATTCTTTTATTTGGTGAAGAGAATTTATTAATACCTATTTGGTTGGGTTTTGTATTTACTTCCAATTAAGATTTGGATTCTTATTGTAACCTAAGTTCTATACTCCATAAATAGGACCTTAAGATTACTAGTGTGTGCCTCTCCATGAGTGTAGAGAGTTTTATCTAATTGGTTTTTGGTGGAGTTCATTGTTTTGAGTCATGAATGTGTGGAAAATTCATGGCTCATTTATTTGCCAATTTGGTAAGAGTCAATTTGTGAGTTTGAGAGTCAGAGAACAATTTGGAAGAGACTTCTCTATTTGTTTTGGGTTCTCTACTTGTGTGGTTTAAAGTTTGTAGTTTGTGAGATTTGGATTGTGAGAGTTAAACACTCTTTTGTAATATTTATTTGAGATTGTTTGTTTCTTTGCTTTCGCCTTCAACGTTGATATTTGATACTTTGTTTCAATTTACTTTTGCTTGCGCATAAAGTACAACAGGCAGGAACTAATCAAGCTACTTATTTTAAGGAAAATTAATGAAAATGACTTGAAAACTTTGAGTTTTAACGATAAGGACAAAATAAAGGGTAAAATAAATAGTACCAGAATTGACTTTTAAGTGTAAAAATATGGTTTTTCGTTAAAGTGAACAATACCGGAAGCTTTTTGTTAAAATTCTCCTTATTTTATTATCAATCTCCCACCAACTAAGTTTTAATTAGCATTGGAAGATATCTCAAAGTCAAATCTTTCTTCCCCAAACGATAAAAAAGGAGGAGATGCTACCACATTGTCCACTAAATACTAAGAATGGTTCTAATCCCTATAGTTAGAACAAAATTTCACTTCGGTTCTAGTAGTTTCAATTCTCGCAATTTCAATTTCTATAGTTTATTAATTTTTGTTGTTTAGGGACAATACTGTAATTGTGGTTTTGTTGGTTACTACTATGACATGTAAAGGTAAATTAGTTTTTTCTTTTAAACGTCGTAGTACAACACACACCTCTTAAAGAGTAAGCATAAACCTAAAATCGCACCAATTAAAAAAGTGAAACTTGGCTTAAATAAACTACAAGAATCAAACCATAGTTCGACCCATAAAATCCAACCCGGCCCATTACTATTTCTGTCCTTAGATACTTACGCCAAACACCACTTGGCACAAACTTACTGGCTCTCAAATCCTTTCAAACACTTGGATAAGCCCTTGTTTTCGTGGACCTCTTATCTCTCTCACACTTGATTTATAAATTACAATCCGAAAACCCACGAAATTTTCTCTCCCTCTCCACTATGCTCATAATTTTCCCGGAAAATTTCCAGCTTTAGATTCTCTCTCTCTCTCTTCCTCCAATGGCGGCCGTTGCTTCTCTGTCTTTCTCGGCGCTCAGTCAATGCTCTGATAGAAAATCGGTCGTCTCGTCCGCTCGGAATTTGGGCTCCAACGCCGAAGGCATTCGATTCCGTACGAGCATTTCCAGCCATTACGGTGGAATTCGAGCTTCGAGTTCGAGCTCTCGCATGGTGGTTCATTGCATGGCAGGGTCGTCAGGTGGGTTTTTCTTGGTAGCTTGTTTTGTGTCATTTAATCGTTTAAATTTGCTACATTTTCTCAGGAACTTGACTGGAGCTTCATTTAATATGTTTTGTGCCAAAGCTTCTTTTTTTTATTATTTAAATATTGTGCATTTAACAATGTCTAAAGTATAATTAAGTTTGATCTAATTAGATGTAATGCACTTACTTCATTTCTGAAGTTTGGTTTTTTTTTTTTGTTTTTTTGGCAAACGACAAAATAATTACACTAAATCATCTAAACAATGAGCAGGTGTTTATGAGCAGGTGTTCGAATTTGGGTGCCGAGAGTGGAGCATGGCTAAACCCATGTCTGCAAATTATGATCTTTTTTGTTAAAAGTAGGAATTTTGACTTACAGATATGGAAAGGGAGGATTTTTATTAATAATTTTGTGTAATCATGTGAAATAAGAATAATGGGCCCTTGTTGTATCAGAGTGTATGTTAGTCTAAGTTTTGTGCTTAACATTTATGGTCATTATTGCTTGCTTGATTTGCAGATGCTCCGACTGTGGCGGATACAAAGTTGAATTTTTTGAAGGCGTATAAGCGACCAATCCCTAGCGTTTACAACAGTGTGCTACAGGAGCTGATTGTCCAGCAACATTTGATGAAGTACAAGAGGACATACCGGTATGATCCTGTGTTTGCTCTTGGTTTTGTCACTGTATACGATCAACTCATGGATGGATACCCCAGCGATGAGGATCGGGAGGCAATCTTCCAAGCGTACATTAAAGCTTTAAATGAGGACCCAGAGCAATACAGGTTTGTCGCTTGTGTTTTATCTTCTTTAGGGATTCATTTTCTCTGTTTTGTGCCTTGCATAACATTTCGAAATGCAGCAATATGGTATGTAAATTGTGATGATCACATATTATGAGGTTTAAAAAAATATGAAAGTTGAGTAAAATTTAAGTGGCTAATTGAGATTGTGATATTGCAATTCATTCCTTTATGTGATAACTAAGGAAAATCCCGTTAAGAAGAGATTTTCTTTTCCGGTCATCGGAATCATGCAAACTTCATAGTTCTACACCAGAATTTCCTAGTTTATGGTAGAAGGTTGATTAATAAAATAATGTGCGACTCTGGAAAATTACTGGTCATTAGATGCTTTAGAAAAAAGAAAAACGAATCCTAATTTGCATATGATCAATCTCTTTCTTATATGTTTTAGAAAGGTCTCGATCTTTACTAGATAAGTTTCCATGCTAAGCACTACAGAACTGATGCACAAAAGTTGGAAGAGTGGGCTCGGGCACAAACTTCTAGTTCATTAGTAGAGTTTCCATCCAGAGAAGGAGAAGTCGAGGTAGCACTGAAGGACATTGCAGAAAGGGCAGCAGGCAAAGAAAGTTTTAGCTACAGTCGTTTCTTTGCTATTGGGCTTTTTCGTCTTCTTGAGGTGGCAAAAGCAACTGAACCAACAGTATTAGAAAAGGTTAGACTTTCCAGGCCTATGAACATTATGAATAATGATGGATATTCGGCCAAGTGATTAGGTTACTGCATTTTGAACTTTTTTGGGTTACTGACTGTTGGATTAAATTATTGAATGGCCTTCCATGATGGTAGCAATGTTGGATCATTTACACTTTGGTTTCTATCCAACAGTTATGTGCAGCCTTAAACATTGACAAAAGAAGTGTGGACCGGGACCTTGATGTGTACCGCAATCTGCTTTCCAAGCTGGTTCAGGCCAAAGAACTGCTAAGGGAATATGTGGCCAGGTAACAAATCCCTCAGGATCATGGGAGTTATTGAATTCATAGCATTACATGTGATAGCTAAGATAGACATGATGATAATCCTCAAATCAACTGATGTGAGTTCAGATGACATTCACAAGTTGAAGCTTTAACATCAAACCGGTTGATCCCCTATACGTTAAACTAAAATTCATGGCCTTAGTTCGCTTTTCTATAGCATGGGTATAATTTATGGATTTTGGGTTTCTTGTTTTATAACCGGAAGTACTGTATGGTTCAAGGATGGAGAAGCTTTTGTGCTTACTGCTTTACATCATATTTGAATGCGTTGAATTTGGCTTTCAGGGAGAAGAAGAAAAGAGAAGAAAGGGTGGAAACACAGAAGGCCAGTGAAACAGTTACGAAATGTTTGGGGGATTATGTTTGCCAGTAATCGGAGTGGTCCTTCAAAGCTGATCACTCTCTGCGAAGCTGAAGATCCCCAAATCTTTTAAGGTTTTTGAGGTAGAGTTGGGAGTTTTTACGCTTAGGCACATACCTTTCATCAGCTTGTACGCTTGCAGTTTTAGTATATTGCTTGCAGTGGTGATCCAGCAACAGCCTATGTGCCGACATGTCTTAAATATTTGTTTCTCTTCAGTTGTCTTTTGTTTTACCAAAACAAAAGTGTATTATAGCTTGTAACTACAATTCTCGATTTGGAATATTTGGGTCGAGTTCCCCTTAGTAAAGCTAATTTTCATTGTTTCTCTCTGTCTTTCTGAGGATGATAACTTCCTCTCAAATACGGCGTCAGTGCAGTAACCAATTCTCGATTTACTTCAACGCTTCTGAGTTTAAAGAATTATTTGCATTCGTCCACAAATCAATCATGTACAGGTTGATAACAATGGGGTTACTAAGTAAGAACCCTAGAAAGCAATTTGTCACAATTCCTGCTAGAAATGTTACTAAGCTAAGATGTTAACTGAGAAAGGAACAACTTAATAAGAAGTTAACTGAGATGCGAAATATCAATCTCTTCGGGGAGCTTAAATGTGTCTGCTGCACCAAACTTCCTATACAATGCTGATTCATGAGTTTCTTCATCATCCCAATCCTCTTCCTCATTTCCCTGGCTGCTAGGTGACTCGGGATTATAAACGCTTTTAGACCTGCAGCCATGTCGAGCAAGAATGTTCACCTGGCGAAGGTGAGAGATTTCAACCACGACAGTTTCATCGTCAACTGGGAGGGGTTGCTTCCAGGGTTCCCCATCGATCCTCATGTACGTATGATCAATTGCACCCTTTTGAAACTCAAAGCGAATACGGTGGGCCTATCATCGATAAGAAATAATAGACAGTATAAATACCAAATGCAGGATAGTACAAGTTATTTATGAACATAAATTCAACTTCTTGATCAAATACCTGGGCAAGACGAGTCCCGTGTCCCTTGGCAAGCAAAACAAGCCCATGCCATGCATCTCGAAAGCCAACAACTTCAATGAGACCATCGTCTACATATGCTGGAGTAAAACCTCCCTGTAAAGTCATAATCCACCAACATATGTTGTTAGATTTGAGAAAAACCAATACAAAGATCATTTCAACTATTTCTGTGAAAAAACAAAATAAAGAAAAATAATAGGAGAAAAGCGGGAGTGTTGTGAACCTACATTACGCCTCTTCCTAATCGGGACTCCCCAAGGATTAAAACCACCAGAAAAGCTAGGCAAATTGAGGATCACGATTGACTTGATACTGTTCAATGAAACAGAGAGGTTAGCAAAGCAAAAGCATAATTGGATATTATTTGCGAAAGAAATCAAACGGAAACAACATCAAGTACTGAAGAGAAGAAAAAATATACTAAATCAATATTATCCTCGTGCAATGTTTACCTTTTGAAACTAAACAAGGAAAAAATCAACTAGATCAGAAAAAGAAAACTCTAAATAAGTTTAGTTATCTCTGCAGAACCACCGGAGTTGAACTAGTGTGTACGGAAAAGAAGATTGCAACAAAGTTAAGATTTCTGAAATCTGGATTCCATGTTGGCAGAAAATCAGAGCAGATTGGCAACCTAAATAGTTGCATATCAGAACACCACAGACTCATGGGAATTATGTCTAACATTGTGACACAAGTGAAATCTGCACATGATGGGGAGGCTCGATATGGATAGTGTTTTCTAGCACAAAAATGATTACTGGGGGAAACCGTCACTAGATAGTCAACTCGTCATTTTAGGGCAGCTCACGGCCTATGAAAACCCAAGAAAACAGGAGGAAACATAGGACAAACAATGCAAAGAAATTTGCATTGAGCAAGCAAAGCTCATTTCCGTTATAATATTGACAAAAATGTACCTTGGAGGAATTTGTAGATCTTCCATTGGCCATGGTTTTTCATGACCTTCACCTTTGCAAATTGCGCTATGTCCCTATTTCAAGAGAGATAGACAATAAACTTCACATTCACTAAACAAGGTTTTAGATACTTCAAATTCAAATAAACTTAAACCTTGTGGGACAGGGAATCTGTAGATGCTCACCGTGAAGTAGATTGAGAACAAGGAGAAGAAAACCAGCCTTGTGAATGGGTAATCTTTGCATAAGTAGTCTGTATTTAGGATCAAAGAAAAGACAGAGGAATAAGTAGAGTTTCACTCCATACATCAGAATTTAACAGCACTATCCAAGCAGTATTTTATTTTTTACAGAGTTCCACGCAAGAAATTTTTACTGTATATGACGCATAGACAAATGTATGTATTATAATTTTTAATAAATTATTATAAGTTTGTTACAAGATCAAATCATTTTCATTAGTTTACTACATTATGCTCATGAACAAAAATGGGTTTTGAAGAAACTAAATACCTGATTAGTTAACTGATTTTTGAACTTTTCGGGGTGCTGCTTTCGCTCAGTATGAAATGCATATGATACTTGAGCATCCATTCCTAAACACAAGCACAAACACGTAGAGTTCATTACACAAAACACGGTTGAGTGAAAGAAGATATCGATCAACAATTAATCGGCTTATTTTGAATGCACAACGGTAGGACTTAAACTCACAAAAGGAGATATTTTCTAGAAAGATTAAGATAGCTTTGCAAATTAATGCTCAAAATACTTTACAGGACTCCAAGGGAAGAACTCTTACCCATACTGAAGTAGTTCCAAAATCCCCCACGAAAGGTATGGCGGCCTTCCTGCAAAACACCAAAAGTTCTTGCTTATAAAACAGCACCAAAAGTTCGTATCTAACAAGAAAGAGAAGATCTTTGAGCTTAACAAAAGTAATGCAAGCATTTAAAAGTAACAATCTGACATGACACTTAATTTGCAAAGAAAAAAATTAGCCACAGCAAATTGGCTCAGCTCCTGAAAAATAGCTTGACTTAGCAAAATAGCTGATTTTATCTTTCTGCTACTCCCTGAGACTGGTTCTTTTGTCCAATGAGCCCAATAACTCGACTATATTGAGAATATGTAATTACCATGTTCAGCTCATTTGAATCAGAGACACGGCCAAATGCATGCAACGAATGAGGTAGGTCAAGAGGCGCAATGGGATCACACGGACCTTCTTTTGGCTTCCTCATCCTCATGAGAATGTGCCAGCTATATCAGAATAAACAGGGAAAAATAAAATTAGAACTTCCAATTATAGAAAAAAAATGAGAGGCAACTGGTTAAAACTACAAAGAAAATGCACTAATGACCTAAACGAGAAAAAGAGTGAATAAATTAGTCATAATACTTCATCACTCCATCTGGAAAAAGGGAAATCTAAGATATACGAACAACAAAGAGATGATTTCAAATGATATCTGATTGTCTGAGACATCTAGAAACAGGGCTGTGTATACACAGAACTTGAATTACAAAGTTTAAGATGTAAAAAGAAATAATAATGACTGTCTAACCTGTCTATTTTCATTTCCTTGGCTCTCTTTACTTGGTCCAAAAACTGCTTCACAGATTGAGGATCTGTCCCAGGATTCTTCTTCCCCTGTGAATTAGCAAACATCATGTCATGCATGCACGATATCTAGCAGTCAATGGCTGCCCTACTTAGGGGTGGGTTGGGAGTGAGGTGCTTAAAAAAAAAGCACCCATGAAAAAAAGGTTTTAGGTGTTTGGTAAACTAAAAAAAAAGGGCTTATTTTGGAAGCTGCTGTGAGAATAAGCTGAAATCAAAGGAAAAAGCTGAAGCTGCTCTTTGCAGCTTTGGAAAACTGGCTTTTTTTCAAAGCACACGGAGCTACAGTGCTCCTAATGAAAAGACCCACTATCAGACTGTTTTTTTTTCCAAAAGCACTTTTACAAAAAAGTTTACCAAACACTCTGCTGATTTTTTTCACAGCCGCTTATTCTTACAGCAGCTTTTTTTTAAAGCACAGCAATACCAAACCAGCCCTTACTTAAACCATAATAATCACAAACTACTTAAAACAATTAATCTTGAATCAACTTTACATGGCAGAACTAGTTAGAATTTCTGGTGCATATAGTGGCTTGAATTAAGAAATGGAGAAGTTTTCTCCTGAATATGCATATCAATGAAAAAATAACTACCGATATATGCACACATCCAATATGATACATGCAATCCAAGACCATATATCCATCGACATAGGAAATTCCTTACCCATCCAAATGCAAAAGGAAGATTGTTTCCTGTTCCTAGTGGTACTGTTGCTATTGGTGGCGAATGAGATAACTTGAGATCAGAAACAACTCCAAGAAGCCAACCAGCTGTTCCATCGCCACCTGCAACCTAGAGGGGCAATTCATGTCAGAAACATGAAAAGGTAACATCACACAAGGTCATGAAAAATAGAAAAATCAAACCATTTATGTTGACACTCACAATGATTCTCAATTTCTCTTGAATTTTTGTAGCGAATTTATCCCCATTGCGCTTGAGTTTTTCAAGATTGGCATAGATTCGGCAAAGAACCTTATCCGGAGCCTCTTGCCCCAAATCATAAACCTAAAAATTAGCTAGTTCAAGGTCAGGTTCATAAAAAACTTCGAACTAAAATCCAAATGCTATATTCCACCAAATATTCAAAAAAAGAAATCTGACAACATTCAACCCTATAGAAACTACCTGACTTTCATTTAGAAGGGAACGGTATGATACAAGAAGATCCCCACCAAGCTGGCCACCACTTTTGGAGTTGATAAACACTAAAACCGGACATTGCGGTACATCAGCAACATTTTCACTCTTTGATTCAGGCACTAGTACATACTTGGGAATTCTGAAATCCTTCAAGAATTCCTCCCCATAGTTAGAATTTGCCATTTTGGGTCTAACTGCATTACAAGATCATAATCAGTAACCGTGAAAAGAGCCGTTGTCTGCAACCAATTTTAATTCGGGTCCTTCCAAAATACAAAATTTCACAAAACTAATCCAATACCATACAATTTCCGTAGTGATTAGTCCAAGAAAAAATGAATATTTTTGCATTGGTGGTGATAAACAAGTTGAAAGATTCAGTCTTTGCAAGATAAACATACATCAAATGGCACAAAAATTTACTCACAGAAAACCCATTTGGAAATACAATTAGAAAAGTGCTGGAAATTTAATTTACAAGAAAAGCAAGAAAGGATGGAAAATTTACATAGTGAGTTGAGGAGATGTGAGCCTCTAACCATGAACATGAACCAAATGGGATTGAAGAAAAAGGGTATCTGAAATACCCGAAACCGGAACTGCGGGCGGAAAATTCGATGGCTTTCACAAAGCTTTTCGGATCCAAAAGGAAGAACCCAAAAGCGCAGAGGGAAACGCGGAATGTTTGACTAGTTCGTGAACTCAGAAGACTTTTATATCGTCGGGGAAACGTGAAGCGTGATCGAAGCCATTAAAACATGATCGAAACTATTGCGGGGAGGGCGGAAAGTTCCATGGATTGGAATTTACTGCTCGCACCTTCACCACACGGCGATTTGAACGAGTGGGGATGAAGACAGCGAAACCTTTAATGTTGTCCTTATGTGTTATACTCATTCGTTGTCATTATTCATTTGTACGTGTCAGATCCCCTCGGCACTTTGGTGGGGGTCAGATGGACTGTCATTCCCTTTCCTCTTTTTAAATTATTAATTTTTTAACATATATACTTTACTATTTATATAACAATACGTGATGTACCATTTCGTATAATGATCACACTAACAAATCTCTCTGTTAGAGAGATGGCTGCAGAATTATGGACGCTAATAATTGGTGGCTGCTGTGGGACCCGTCAATTGTGGGTTAGGTATTCGTTGTAGAGTTGATATTCTGCTAGACATCTCCTATACTATGCAAAGCAAAATACTTCCATGTTAAGATTCCCATACTTTTTGGTCAATTTGTGGACACGTTTATAGAGTCCTACAACGAACGGAATTACATTTGCAGGACTCGTTGTATACGAACGATTTGAAAACGTTGAATTCTTTTTGCGGAAAATCGTTTAATTTTTAAGTTATATTTCAAACTTCACAATTTAAAAGGTTAAATAAATACGAATACATTCGTGAGCATAATGTTACTGACAAAAAAAAAGTATTGCTTTCAATGTCACATGTTTTAACTTTTAAAGTTATTTTGACTCATATTTGACGTCTTCTGCTTTATCTCTTGAATTAAGTGACAATACCCAAGAACATTTTAGGAGGAGATTGATTAAAGATTTTCAAAATTGAAGATAAATGAATCATTATTGTCCTTGAGAGAAATTTGTGGCGGAAAAGAAATCAAGGCTCAAGAGGCAATTAAAGGAAAGACATCATGGATGGATGCTCTCAATTACTATAAATGAAACCCTCAAGCTCATTGTTAGAGGTCCTTACCAACTTGTTGCTGTCATCTTATTTTTTATTCAAAATGTAGTCTTACTTAGCCTTTTATTTCAAATCGATTTTCGATTCCCGTAAATTATTTTCTTGCACCTAGCATAATCTTATTTTCTCGCACTTAACGTAAAAAAATATTTCCTCGCATTCAGAGTAATTATTATTTTATCGCAATTTACTTTCTTACTATTTATTTTGTCGCAATTTACTTTCTTTCATTTTATTTTATCTCAATAGTAGCAACTCAATCAATTCGACAAGTTTGTTTAGGAGGGGTGTAGTCAATTTGGATTTCAGATGATTTTAATGGACTTTTTGTAGGTGGCAAATTTTAAAGGATTTTAATAGATTTTACAATTCCATATGGATTTTGACATATTTTATATGGATTCTTATTACATATTTGTATGGATTTGTATGGACTCTTTCTTGGATTTCTTAGGATTTTGTTAAAGTTGAGAATCACACTAAAAGCATTTTTAATGAAATCCAACGGCTGAGATTAACATCTCTAATTCTATGCAATTGAAACCCTAATTTTTTTAGGAAAACTAATGAAAATGGCTTGAAAACTTTGAATTTTAATGATAATGACAAAATAAGGGGTAAAGTGAATACTACCAGGTTTGACTTTTTAGTGTAAAAATGTGATTTTTCGTTAAAGTGAACAGTACATTGGATTTTTCTTTAAAACTCTCAATTTTTTTTCTTTTCCGTCATTGCTCCTCCTCTCAAAGTTGAGATGCATTGTCAACATCTTGGTTAAGCACCATTGCAAGAATAGGTATCTTGATTTTACTTTTGGGGTTCTGAAGGAAATGAAATGGTCCAAAATTGCTTACCCTAATTTGATTAGGTACTCAACTCTCTTGGGTGGTCTCCATGAAAGTGGAAGACTCACAGAAGCAATGGAGTTGTTCGAATGTATGACCTCAAAGGACCAAATTTTGCCCGATGTCCTAGCTTACAACATTTTGGTTAATGGGTTTTGCCATGGTGGCAAAGTCGACATAGCTGATACCGTGACTTCCAACGTGATACTTGGAGGTTGTGCAGAGAGGGGAGAGTTGAGGATGCTCTGGAGATGCTGGAGAATGCAACTGATAGAGGATTTTGAATTTAGGGATTTGAGGTTTTTTTTTTTCTTTAAGGGAAAAACTCAGAAAACCTACAATTCGTAGTATTTGTTTACGAATTTGAACTTGTTAAAAAAATATCCATGATGGATGAGTACGAAGAAGATGAAGTATGAGATGAGAAAGGGTTTTCTTCTGTGTGAAAAGAAATCAGAGGGGGGAGGATAGGATTCTTGATGGCATATGATATTTATACCACTCACCCTTAAATCCATCAAAATCCACCATTTATTGAAATCCTAGCAAATCTTTAAGATTCTCACTACATCTAAACTTGGGTGGACTTTGTAAAAATTTTAATTGACTACCCATAAATTTGGATGTATTCTTTAAAAACCTCTCAAATCTTAATTTGACTACACCATGATTTCTAAATCTTAGTTGAATACATCCTAATTTTAAAATCTATTAACATCCCACCAAATCCTAATTTAACTACACCCATTGTTGCGATTTGCCCCCTCATACATTCTATCTCACCATACCAATTACCAAATTCGCTTCCACCCATCCATTCACTCATCATGTCCGCAGGGACAACACCTATCTCAACGTCCATCTAACACATATCAAAAGTCCTTGCATCCAAGGCATGGAGAATTTACAACCGAGGCAGGTTCCTTTGTCACATCCCGACCCGGGTCCACCACATCCTGGGTCCCAACTACGCCCTCACGGTTTTGTTTCTGGAAACTCACGAGCAACTTCCCAGTGGGTCACCCATCATGGGAGTGCTCTCGTGCGCTACTCGCTTAACTTCGGAGTTTCGATGGAACCCGAAGCCAGTGAGCTCCCAAAAAGCCTTGTGCTAGGTAGAGATGGGAATATACACATAAGGCTTACAGGATTCACTCCCCCTAGGCGATGTAGGATGTTACAATTGTCACATACCGGTCCGGGCCCCACCACATCTCGAGCTTGACTCCACCGTAGCACGATATTGTCCGCTTTGGGCCCTGACTATGCCCTCACTGTTTTGTTTCTGGGAACTCACACGAGAACTTCACATACCGGTCCGGGCCCCACCACATCCCGGGCTTGACTCCACCGTAGCACGATATTGTCCGCTTTGGGCCCTGACTATGCCCTGACTGTTTTGTTTCTGGGAACTCACACGAAAACTTCACAGTGGGTCACCCATCCTAAGAATGCTCTCGCGCAAACTCGCTTAACTTCGAAGTTTCGATGGAACCCGAAGCCAGTGAACTCCCAAAAGGCCTCGTGCTAAGTAGAGATGAGAATTATACATATAAGGCTTTGAGGATCCACTCCCTTGGGCGAAGTGGTATGTTACAATCCACCCCCTTTAAGGGTCCGACGTCCGACGTCCTTGTCGGCACACTTCCGCCCAGGAATTGGCTCTGATACCAAATTGTCACATCCCGGTCCGGGCCCCACCACATCCTGGGCTTAACTCCACCGTAGCAAGATATTGTCCGCTTTAGGCCTCGATCATGCCCTCACGGTTTTGTTTCTGGGAACTCACACGAGAACTTCCTAGTGGGTCACCCATCCTGAGAATGCTCTCGCGCAAACTCGCTTAACTTCGGAGTTCCGATGGAACCTGAAGCCAGTGAGCTCCCAAAAGGCCTCGTGCTAGGTAGAGATAAGAATATATATATAAGGCTTAGAGGATCCACTCCCCTGGACGATGTAGGATGTTACATCCTTGTTCAGTCCGCAATCGCATTTGAAAGAAGTTAGGTCAAAGTGCTACTAAAATCACCAACTTCTTTTTATTCGTTTGGGCTTAGGCCATGAGTTGGCACGCCCACAACACGAACTTAAAGGACTAAGAGATTCCGAAATCCTTGACTGTGCGACCGCAACACATTTTGAGATCAACTGAAGCTTTCCTCAAGTTTACTTGGTCTCGAGATCTTTTTGACAGAAACCTTTATTCCTTGTTTTACATGTTTTAGGAAATCTTTGGGATTTAATTATTTCCCATTTTATTTTCCTTTTGAACTTATGGATTGCTAAGACATATAAATAACTTATAGGGTTGTATTTTTACAATCTTTCAAATCATGCCTTATAAACTTTGAGGTTTCTCATGCTTCATGGATTCCGAATTTCATATTCTCTTTATTCTTTCTTTGTCATGCTGCATCAGAGTTGATCCCACTTATAGAGTGAAATCAGGCACGATTAGAAGGCAATAACAACCTTAACCCCATTTAATATCTGCAATCCAAGCCCTCCACCCTCGGAACTTTTGAACACACTCTTTACGCAAATGAATTTGAAAGACATTAAACATACATGACCTTAAATACAGTTATATATTGGTACCAACCTATCCACTTCCATAATTTGAGTGTCATTTGATTCCCATGACACAAATATAAAATCAAGAATTTATGCAATTGGCGAGTTGAAACTAGCTAGTGTCTACAAAAACTTCAACTCTTTGTTACTTAGATTTGCAGCATAATTAACTAAGCTAGTCAAATGGCTTCCACACTTAAGGTCCTAGAGCAATGTCAGGTCTCTCCACCAAAAGATTCAGTTCCCACAACCTCTCTTCCCCTCACATTTTTGGACATACCTTGGCTTGTCTTGCTACAACCTGTCCAACGCCTCTACTTCTATGAATTCCCTCACCCATCTCACCATTTCACACAAACCCTCCTTCCATCAATCAAACACACTCTCTCCCTCACTCTCCAGAACTTCTTCCCGCTCTCTGGAAACCTCACTTGTCCCCCTCCTCCCTCCATGCCTTACATCCACTACGTCGCAAACATGTCTTCTGTCAAATTCACCATTACTGAGTCCGCTGCCAACTTCATCCATCTTATAGGCAACCACCCAAGACATGTCCAAGAGTTTGATCACCTTGTTCCCCATTTGCCGGATTTTAATAATTTGGACTCCAATTCAAGTGACACAACCACATTTCTACTTCCTATTCTTGCATTACAAGCAACAATTTTCCCAAACTCTGGCTTATGCATTTCCATAGCATATCGCCACGTTGTGGATGGACGAACTGCTAATCATTTCATGAAATGTTGGGCTTCTGTTTACAAGTCTGGAGGAGACTTATCTTGTATACATGAATCACCTCCTATCTATGACAGAGATTTGATCAAAACCCCAAAAGATTATGAGCCCATTTTATTCAATCAATACATCGGGTTGAGATCGACATGGAAAAATCTTGACATGGCCAAGTCTTCTTCCATTTTCATAGACAACTTTCGCACAACATTTGTACTAGGAAGAGAAAATATTCAAAGCCTGAAACAACTTATCATGACCCAATGCAAGAATTGTAATGAGCCAACCCCAAAGCACTTGTCGAAATTTGTGGTCACATGTGGTTTTGTGTGGGTATGCTTGATGAAGGCCCTACATGCTAGTGAAACTGGGGTGACTTCAATGAAGGATGATGACCTCTTACGGTTAGGGTTTGCAGCCGATATACGAAGCCTCTTTCAGAATCCAGTGCCCATCACCTATTTCGGAAACTGCTTGTCAGCATGTTATGTGGCAGATAAAAAGAGAGAGATCATGGCGGAGTGTGGGATTGCTAAGGCGGTGAAGGCCTTGGAGGCTGCAATTTTTGAGCTGAAAAATCGAGATCTTGAAGGGTTAAAGAGGATGGTTCCATTTCGAGGGGAGTTGGTTGTAGCAGAAAGTAGTGTAGCAATTGCTGGATCGCCAAAGTTGGGAGTTTATGGGACTGATTTTGGATGGGGAAGAGCAAAGAAAGTGGAGGTCGTTCACTTTGTTGATTCAACCGTTTTTTCTCTTGCTGAGAGTAGAGATGAGGAGGATGGCATTGAGGTTGGTTTAGCTCTACCGAGGACTACAATGGATGCATTTACTTCTTTGTTTGAACAAGGTCTGAAAAATTTCTGCTAAAATATGGATGTTTTAAGTTCATTTACATTTTAGAAATACTTTAGTGTGTGATAGGCACAAAAAATAAAAATAAAAGTAATCAGGTCATGCAATATTTTATGGGGGCATTTGAGCATGATCCTTTTGGATCGTCTCCTTGAGTGGAGTGAGGTTCTTGGGTTTTGCTTTCTTAGGATTTTATATATGGTGGCTTTGGCTGTTATGGTGCTGTCGTCAGTGCTTCTCACGGTGGTTGGTGCGACGATTTTCATAGCGGCGACTGTTAGGTCTAGGGTTTTTATTCCTCTTTTGTTGGGCTTCATGTTTAGGCTAATTGCCTTATGTTTCTAATCTGGTTTGTTATTTGATAGGCCTATTTGTTGGGTTTGTTACTTGATAGGCCTATCTGTGGGCTCTATGGCTATTTTAGCACCTCTGGGTTCCTATATTGTGGACCTTACTATACTTGTATTGAGGCTTGCCTCTAATATGCCTCGTGTGCATGTTCTTAATAAAATATTTTGGAAAATTGATCAAAATGATTATAATTTAATTTTTCAATTTATCATTATCGACGATATAACGATAAGCATTAATTATATGTAATGATTTATTATTGATATGATAAAAATGAATAATTTAATTAACTTGTAAAATAATCATTTTGACCAATTTTCGAAAAATTTCCGGTAAAAAGTGCTTCAAATTCTATATACATGATAAAATACTAAATCTTTGCTCTCTAATATTTGAGTTTAGGATAACCAATTATTAAGACAGAGCCTCTTGGATGAAAACAAAAAGAGGTTGGACCGTCACCCACCCCAGCTTAAGTTCAGCATGCCAGTATGGAAAATAAAAAACCAAAAAATAACATCAACAGAAATATATAAAGTACGAACATATTGAAGCAAATAAAAAAATAGAAGGAATGATGTGAAGGACAATAATAAGAGATTAAAAAACAATCTCATGTATCTCATACTTTTTCTTTATTAATCAAATCAATAATTTGCAAACCCCCGTATCTCACACATGTTATTGTATTGATGCTCACATTTTCCCAGCATGCGCACCACTAACCCCATGGATTAATATAATCAATATGTACGATGTCACTGTCCATATCATCACCATATATTTGAAGGAACAGCACAGTGGCCAACAAAAAACAAAATTAGAAAGGTTGATGAACACCAGAACAACCCCTAACGTCGATCATTTACGTGTAATTTTGCCATGCATTGCATACAATTTTTGTACCATAATTCTAATCCACGTGTTTACAAGTGACAACAGCTGAGGCCTCATGAGGGGAGTCAACGCTCATGCAGATTCTCTGTATTAATCTCTGTATATACAATCCTCAAATTTGTAGTATACAACTGGAGATTTCATACTGTCATACACATCAACTACGTATAAACAACGTGCATGGATGTATAGAAAATTAAGGGATCATCAATATGTGATTCTATTACTATTACGTCCACAAAACTTGGATCACATTTCTCATTTAAAAACCCTAAACCGATCGTGCCCTCATAAGATACACGATAAGGAGAACCATTTGATATATATTCAAAGTTTGTTGGGAGTTTTGGAGGCCACGCATCAACAAAAGATAGCTACCAACGATCATACGATATAATTAATTAACTACCAAAATTTATATTGTATAATACCAACCCTAGATTTGTGACAAGTAATTACCTAAACTGGTATAGTGTGTACGTCTAGCATAAGGCATGCATCAAGCTCATGATGGTAAACCCTTGAATAAGCAATTATAGTGACGAAGGACGACTCGGAAACTTTCCACGACCACAGAAATGGATTTTTGATACATAGGCATGCATGATCTAGCATGTGATTTCATCACTTTTGGGCACGTGTCCGCAGCCATAAACGTGTTATTTAAATTCAATCGACCTCTAATCCGAAGAAAAATTTAATTAAGTGAGATGATTAACATGCATGTCTAATAGCCACCAAAAATTAAATTAAGTCATGACTAACATGTGGGTCTAATAGACACCAAACAGGGGACAAAGTAAAATTATGGTTTGCTTAAAAATTAATTTATTTTGAGACATGCACTATAGTATTGTAACGTATGATTTGAACTAAACTAGCTTCTTCTTTTTTGAAATTCAAAAGCTGATATCATATATTTGAAAATAAATGGTCCTTATATAGTTACATACGAATATTTTAAAGGGTAGAAAAACAGCAGGGCGAAGTTCATATTCTTCTAGATTTCTCTTTTTGGAAGCAAAGAAGAAAGATTTTGAAAATTGCAAAGAAAAGCAAGACGAGCAAGAAAGCCACAGCAGCATTTTGACCTCTCACGGCAAAATCTTAGTAGATTAGTATTATATAAAATAATATTTGACCAATTCGGGTAATGTTAGATAGAGGTAGATGGACTGTAGCACCTGATTTTCAATGACTCAGAATTTTTATTTTGCAGATGGATAGAGAGTACTTTGCCCAACAAAGTTACTGCGCGCTGATGAAAGAATGTGTACTTCTTTCTTGCGCCCAGAGGACATTTGTCAGTTTTGAGATGGCTTGATATGGGTTGACTCTGTTGTTGGAAAGTAGGAAGTACACCTGTCTCTGTTTGCTACGTGGCTTGATTTTAATGGTGTGTCGTAGAATGTATTCCAGCTTGGAAAGTTACCAACGAATTCGGATTCTTGCCGAATCCTCTTTGTGAGGATTTTATGGATTTGTGAATTGTATCCATTCATCATACATTATGCGATTAGAAATTATTTTAAATATTTTTATTTAAAATTAAAAACAAATAATACTTGACAAAAAACTGACCGCATGATATACGATGAACGGACACGATTCATTGATTCACAAGATCCTCACCAAAAAGATATGGAGAGTATCCTGTTGGGTTACCAACAAGGTGAAACACGTGAGAACAAGATTGTACAAGCATTCTTGTAATGAATCGTCAATTTTTTTAATTTATATGGATAATTAAATAGTTTTTAAATTGAATGAAATTTTTAAAGCTGATTATTAGATAATAATGAAGAGTGATTTTGATTATAATTTACACGGTAAAACAATGTCACGTAGAGAATGAGGATTTTCTTCTTTACTATGAACGAAGAAACTATTATCCTATTATTTACTATCAATCTTTAATTTTTTTAGCTTCGGGCCTCTAGTGTTTCCATTCCTAGAGGACACTTATATATCAATCTAATTAATTCATTTAACAATCAACTACGAATTAGTTTGTTGGTACTCATACCACATTAAATGAGGTCTTAAATTTGAGTTATTGTATCACCGTTTGATAAATATACTAAAACAAAATAAATTTTCATAGAAGTATTATGTCGGATATTTCTTAGGATAAAAATGGCATGCATATAGACTCTATAGACCTTATTAAATACAGATGAAGGGATACAAATGTATGTTTGTTTCCTCCCATAGTGATGGTAGTATGGACACAAATCTCTTATATATAAAGCCAGAGCTCCAATTTGGGGTCAGGGCTTCGACAAAAATCATTAGGATCAGAATGCCCCTCAGCAAAAAAAAAAATGAAAAGCAGCAAAGAAAAATGCATAAAATAATGCAAAGGTAATTTTGTAAATTTATTTTTAATAATTTCATTCTTTCCTTTCGTTAGTGAAACACACAAAAAGGTTAGGTTCCAATCAATCCATCCCAAAAAATGACAACTTTACTAAATTTGTCAACATAAAACTGAAATATTGTCAATTGCTTGTAGGACCAAGCAGAGAAGTTATTTTCAATTATTCATAGTAGATTTCAACCAATCAAGAAATTAATTGCACTTTTAGAAATAAAGGACAATATTTTAAAAGATGGTCAAAATATTAAATATTATCATGAAAAGAAAAACGCGGCATCGATATCAAACTTCCACTTCTATCCTTTCATATACATACTGTACCATTAATATATTTAACATAACAACTATCGAAAGATTAGTGTATTTTAATTGGAGAAATTAGATTTTCATTCTCTATTTTGCTACTCCATTGATTAAAATCATATTTATTTTTAATTTTTGATCAAGGTCTTTGGATATTAATAACATCATTAATTATTACAATAATAAAATATTTTTTTATTTCTAAATATATTCATTTAATGTTAAAATGTTACAATTAGTATATTTATATTTATGACTAAATTTTTTATCATATATTTTTAGTTTTAGTTTGTACCCATTTTTAATTTGTAATTTTTTTAACTTGTACCAATTTTCTTTTCAGTTTTAATTTGTACCCATATTTTTTAAAGTTCATTTGTATTTGTACCCATATATTTTTTTTACTTGTACTTTTTATTTTGCTAAATATATACCCATGCTAATTATATGTACCCATTCATGTAAAACTTTTTAATCTTGAAATGTACTCATTCTTAAATATACCAATTTGTTATATGTAAAATGTACCTTTTTTATATATAAAATCTATTCAATTTTTTTCTAATCCATTTTTAAACTTATATGGGTACATTCTTTTTTATTTGATTTTAAAATGTATCTATGTCAAGTTTAATCGAAGAAATTTACTAATGTTATTAAGCCTAATATCTTTTTTTTTTGTTGTGATTTTTGAAGAATGTACCCATGTTTTGATACAATAAATTTTTTGGTTAATTTTGATGAATGAACCCATGTATACACACACACACACATACACACAATAGTATATTTATATTTTTAATATTTTTAATCCCACAAATTATGTTTTTTTTAAATTTAAAATCTCATTTATATAAACAACTAAAATTTCTAATTTATAATTTAAAAAATATAGTAATGTACAAAGAAATAAATTAAAAACCAACAAGGTTTCAATCAAAGAATATTCATAACTAAGGACCGCATCCAAAGTCTCACATTTTAATTAAACATATAATTGTGGAGCTAGCAGGCAGCATTGACAACGGTGATGATAGCCCTACGCAAATAAAGTTAAAAGCTTCGGCTTCCTAGCATTGAGTCATCGATGAGCAAGTAACCTTAGAATTAAACAGAAAGTTGATAGGAAAATGATCAAACAGTTAATGAATACACGAAATTGCAAAACCAGAAGATCAAGCTTTTCTTCTTGTTGATAGCAGATCTAACAACCTTACCGTCCAATCCTTTTCATTAGCACTACTTTAACAAACTACAAAATTACGGTTTAATCATGGAGAAAAGCAAAAAGGTCAACCCTTAAAGGCTAAAACCCAAAAGCATAGTTTGTATTATTATCACTGTTGTTACTTCTCCGGTGGCACAACTGTATCCAAGTATGATGCTATTAATTTTACATGTGCTCATTCTTTTTTTTCTTTTAATTTTTTTTAACTTAGGCTTATGACATAACTAAATATTATACACATTGTATTCATATTCCATGTATTGCAGATAAATGGACGTGTCCTGAGGCCGGCGCCAAATCCCTTTGACTTCAAAAATGCTTCTCAAACTTCTTCCCTTCCACTATATAAATGCCTCATCTCTTCCCTTTTGATCAGCGACTTGAGCTACAATCTAATTCCAAAGTCACAAAGTACCTTTTTCTCTCCTAGTAAATACCTTTACAAACTCATCTCTCCACCTCCACATCAAGTTAGATAACAGCACCAGCTGCGCCACTAACAATATGGGTAGAGCACCTTGCTGTGATAAAAATGGACTCAAGAAAGGTCCATGGACAACCGAAGAAGATGCCATGCTCGTCAATTATATTCAGAAGCATGGACCTGGAAATTGGCGAAACCTTCCAAAGAATGCAGGTATATATACACATAGTGCTCATCAAACAGTTTTTTTTTTTTTTTTTTGTTCCTTTTGTTAATCAACGACTGTAATCTGTGAGATTTGAACTATCAGTTTAATTGATGATTTGTTGTGATAAATTGTATAGGACTGCAGAGATGCGGGAAGAGTTGCCGCCTTAGATGGACTAACTACCTGAGACCAGATATAAAGAGAGGAAGGTTCTCCTTTGAGGAAGAAGAGACTATAATCCAACTACACAGCATTCTTGGAAACAAGTAAGCTTATGTTTAATTGGAATTTAATTTACCATACAAATTGATACATAAACAAGTTATTGAAGTAATTTACATCTGCTGATCAATTTTCTTTTTTCAAAATGTTAGATGGTCAGGTATTGCAGCTCGCTTGCCAGGAAGGACGGACAATGAAATCAAGAACTACTGGAACACTCACATCCGAAAAAGGCTCCTCCGAATGGGAATCGATCCAGTGACTCATGCTCCACGCATCGATCTTCTTGATCTGTCCTCAATTCTCAGCTCATATGTGTGCAACAATCCAGTTGCTGCACTTCTCAATTTATCGAACTTGTTGAATAGTACACAGCAGCAGCAACCACTTGTTAATCCAGAACTGTTGAGGCTAGCAACAAGTCTGCTATCGATCAAACAAGAAAACCCGGAATTGTGTCCCCAAAATTATTCTCCCCTTCAAAACCAGATTTGCAGTTCTCAGGAACAAAATAATCAAGTTCTCCCACCTTTACAATCCAATGATCAGTTCCAAAATCTCATCCAAGGAGGAGACTTTTCTGCTGACATGGCAAAACATCTGATGCAACAGATAAATGTGGAAGGCTATTCGCCAAACATGAACAACTTGAGCTGCTCCCTTTCCCAAGAAAATATAGTCCCTTCGAATTTAAGCAACGATCATCATCAAACAGCTGTTTCCCAACCAAACTATGTGCCTTGCAGTACTACTTCTAGTAGCCCCAATCCTGATTTTCCGGAAAATTCATATTTCCAATCATTAAACTACAACAAGAACCATGATTTCAGCTTCGATTCTGTTATGTCAACGCCTTATTCAAGCCCGACTCTTTTGAATTCATCAGGCACATACATAAACAGCAGCACAGAGGATGAGAAGGAAAGCTACTGCAGCAGCTGGTTAAAGTTTGAAATCCCAGAGAGTACTTTGGACATTAGTGATATCATGTAGAATCTCTTGGTCTCGTATGCTCAATAATCTTGTACTTTGTGCTTGTAGTTTTTTATGCTCTTGTAGTTGATGTTGATACTGAGATTCTTTTTCATTGTTTTAATTTACAGTTTTCCATTTTTGTACGTACTAAAATAGCACTATCCTATACATCTTAGATATCGATCAAAAGGTAGGGCTTGCATGCGTGTTAATTACTAATTAGGGTTCTTCCATGCACGACGATGAATATTCATGTACATCAAAAGCATATATATAATGTTATCATTTTCTGTGCCAAACCCTTTTTTCAAATTAATCTTATATATAAATATTTGTACTATTTTGATAGTTCATCTATTATATATATTGAGTAATCTTATCTTGTTGGTATGTGTAGGCAGTAGGACCATCAATTACAAAGTTAAATGTATTACAGAGAAGCAAATTACACAGCACTTTTGATTTTTTTTTCTTTGTGCTAAAGTATTTGAGAATTTTCTGTATTGTATTCTTCTTCGTATGAGGCCAATTTATATGTGTTAATTATAAGAGAGTATGAAACTATATGATTGTAGCCAAGGTTCTAAACGACGCTAGGCCCTAGTCGGACAGCGGGCAGGAGCCTAGCATCTAGGCTTCTAGGCAAACTAGGCAGATTTAAGTAAATTTATTATACATCATATAAATAAGTTCCTATATATCCATAATTAAAAAAATACATAATTGTATTGAGATACAATAATTGTTAAGTACACTACTACAAAGGGCCTTATAGTGTCAGTAGGTGGCATCAATTTAATATAATATAGTGGCGAATAAGACAATTGTAACACTAACTGAACATGACGTCGGATTTACTGTCGCTTATAAGCGTTATAAAATGTCTGCGTCGCTTTTAAACCGACGTAAACATTTAATGTCGCTTATAACCGACATATATTTTTATAATTTTTAAATACTAGCGTCGCTTTAAACAAAACAATGTCGCTTTTAAGCGACATAAAGTATGGGTGTCGCTTTTAAGCGACATTGTTTTGTTTAAAGCGACGCTAGTATTTAAAAATTATAAAAATATATGTCGGTTATAAGCGACATTACTGTCGCTTATAAGCGTTATAAAATGTCTGCGTCGCTTTTAAACCGACATAAACATTTAATGTCGCTTATAACCGACATATATTTTTATAATTTTTAAATATTAGCGTCGCTTTAAACAAAACAATGTCGCTTTTAAGCGACATAAAGTATGGGTGTCGCTTTTAAGCGACACAAAGTATTGTTTATAAATATTTTAAAGCTTGTGTCAGTTCTGAGCGACATAGATTTTAGTTTTTTTAAATTTTTTGAAACCTGGTGTCGGTTGTAAGCAACGGATTGATGGTCTTTATATACTCTCCCCCGTATTTTCTTCTTCCTGATCTCTTGCATTTTTCTTATTTGTTCTTCCTCTCTTACAAACCCTCCTCATGTTCTCTCTCCTGGACCTTTCTTATTTGTTCTTCCAACTTCATTTGTTCCTTCTTCACAACAGTAAGTTTTTCTTACTTCTAATATTTTTATTTTCTCCTCTTATGTTTAATTTTTATTTACAATTCATTTTTGTAGGGAATTTATTTGAGCTGCTTGAGTACATATAGAATTGATCGACGACGGAATTCTTCCATAATTCAGGTTTCTATCACTAAATTCTTTCATTTTTAAATCGTATAATACACAAGTTTATTTATTTAAAAATTATAATTTAAGTACTTAGATAAATTTCTACTATTTTTGTTAAATTAATTTATATTTAGTCGAATTATTTAATTTTATCACTTGAATTGTTATGAGAAAATGGAAATAAATAATATTTATTAGCATTTATGTTAAATTAACAATATTAAATATAACATAAACTTATAATATTTAGTAATATAAGAATATATTATGTTAAATTAATTTGTTTTGCACTGTAATTGTTATTTTAATTTGTTTTTGTTGTTATTTTGATAACTTTTGTTGTTAATTGAAATAGAAAAGAACGAAGTTACCCGAAAAAATGTAAAAGCCTTGAGTGGTGAATGATTATTGGGATGAGTCGCCGACTAAGTCGCTCTCTTTAAAACGTTTCGCGGCTCTGCCCAAAGTGTGCAAGCAATTCACAAACACTACATCGTCCCCAGGATAAAACAGCCTAGAACCTTCTTCTTATAAGGTTCTTTCTTGCACAGTGAAAGAACCTTCGAACTCACACCCTCTCAATATGTTGCTTGCCAAACTATATATCAGAAAAAATATATATATTTTTTTTTCCACATTTTCAATGATTCCAGGGACTGCTATATATACTAGAGAGAAAGACGTTGAGAATTTGAGAGATTAATGAGGGCTCGCACGGTCAAATTCTTTACGTTAAAAAATTCAAAATCAAAGGACCTGGTGAGTTATTAGACAGACAAAAACATAGAAAGCTAAAGTGAAACATGACTGGATAGATGAAACGGAAAGATCAAAACTTAAAGTAACCACCTTGAAAAGAGCAAAACGGTTTGAATATATATAAAGTACATCTGATATTTTTTCTATGTATATGGGGTGTTTTACATGTTATTAACATATATATTAGTCAAAACGTTTGAATATTTATTAGCATAAATATTAGTAAAAAACGTAAAGCAAATTCAGAATGGAAAAGACAAAACGGATTGAATATGTTTAATAACCTGATCTTCTTCTTTATATAGAAAAGGAACCCCACGTTTCATATTTAAGAGGAGATAACTCCTTATCTAATTGATAAGACCAAAATAAATTGGCTGTTATGTATATAATGTTGGTAATAAAATAAAACATAAATATATTTAAATATTTAAATAAAAACATAATTGCTCCAACAACTTTGATAACTTTTAGTTGGTATTTATTAGAATGGATTAGATGAGCATAATTTTGATTACTTTTTATTGTTATTTTAATTTTTTTTTACTATAATAGGTGTTGAAAGTTAAAAGATTGCAATCGTGATAGAGTTCGAGGGTTGAAAGATAGAAATTGAAAATTCTAATAGTTATGCATACATGATAGGGATTGAAAGATTGTAGGCATCTTAGTGTGAACGTAATATTTTGCCCTCGTAAAGTGGTAAAGCATGGACAAGAGTTGGTTGACGATACCTCGAAATTTTGAAGCTTATACAGCTGGAATTAATTTGTTTTTGAATCAAGCAGTTGCAAATGCTGTTGGTCCTGATAAGTTTAGATGTCCTTACAAAAGATGTTGTAATCGATTTACTTTTGTTAGGAACACTATTCACTAGTAAAAAAACACTTTGTGCGATGTACTTATATTCGTCGCGTAAAGTCAAAAATCGTTGCGTAAGGGTTTGCGCGACGTACACTTCGTCGCGCCAAGGCCGTGACACTAGGGTTTGCGCGACGAAAAATAACGTGCGTCGCGCAAAGTGGCTTTGCGCGACGCACAACCTACGTCACGCAAAGTTACTTGCGCGACGCACAACCTATGTCGTGTAAAATACTTTGCACGACGTACAACGTGACTTCACGTGACTCATGTTGTACGTCGTGCAAAGTATGTTTGCGTGACGCACGTTGTACGTCGTCCAAGTACTTTTGCGCGACGCGTGGCCTGCATCGTGCAAAGATACTTTGCGCGACGCACATCCTACAGCGTACGTCACGCAAACCCTTTTTTTTTAATTAGTGAAAAATAATTTTTTTAAATTTGTTTTGATAAATATTGTAATTAAATTATAAAGAATAATTAATTAACCAAGCAAAAGTATTTAATTATAAAATATTTGAAAATGTACATACAAGATGTCCGAACAAAAAAGAAAAAACTACAAGTGAACTAGGTTTAATATATCAAGCTACTCGGTATTGGCAGGGCAATGTGGCTCTGAGGTTGAAGGTGGAGCATGATGAGGTACTGGTAACGAGATTTGGAGGCCGGACGTCTGTATGTCTTGTACAAGTTCTTGCACCCTCCCGACATAGGTATTCAGCTCCTTGGCCTGGGCCCTCAGCTGAACCTTCATCTGGGCGTCCTCAGTCCTCAGCTGCATCACTTCCACCTTCAATGCATCGACCTCTGTTGTGTTCGATCTAGAAGAAGAAGTACCTGTCTCACGAATCCGCGCTTTCCCCATACCCCGAACAACATTGCCACCACTACGACCATAGTTCTGATTCAGGACATCAGTCATGATCTGAAAACCTGCATCCTCAGGTACCATGACGTCCTCGATCGGGGTTTTCGGGGGAAGCTGCGATGCTGCTTCATGGAGAACAGCAGTGCTCTTTTCCTCCATAGTAACCTGTAATAATAAAGAAAAAACATATAATGTTTAATAACAAAATATAAATAATATTTGAACGATTCATACATATAAGAATAATAACATATACTTACATGAAGCTGCTTAGTGGTCTTATTACCAGGTCGAACGTAAACATCCTTGAACATGTCGATCTCTGGGAACTTAGAACCCTCCGAAAGAAAAAAAACATTAAGAAAATTTAATTAATCAATAATAAAAATTAAATTGTATAAAATTTCAAAGTTAATATACTTTTACCTCACGTCGTGCCTCAAGCCTATACGAAAAGGGCTGCGAACCAGAATGGTGGAGAAGTGTCTTTGACTCCCGAGCTTTCTGGCTAGCAGTAGATTTCTTCTGTTAAACACACAATATACATGTTAGTGCGACTATTTGAAATAAATTAATAAAAATGCTTAAAAAAATAACATTTACAATAAAAAATTATTATTAAAATATTATATACATACCACAAATTTTGGGTCCGTAAAATGTTTGCAGAGCCACTCCCAATCCTTTGGTCGGTCCTTCAACTCGTCTGGAACATGTAGGCGAGCAATCTCCGGATCATCTCATTGCTTAAAATGCTTGTGAAAATTGTTCTTCCATTGTTTGTACCGGGTTGCTAAGGTCTCCTCTAAGTAGACCATGACCTCAGGGGATATGTCCTCAAGATCATAAACGCACTACGAATATGAAAAAGAATAAAATAATAGTAACAAATGTAATAATATTAAGATAATATATTTTGGTTTTTAATATTTGTAAACGAAATTTAAAAAAAATGATAAAAGGCTATAAATTAATATACTAACCGACAACTTGTCTCGCACCAATATCTTCGTCTCCTCAGGAATTTTTGCCCAAGACTCCCGCTGAAAAGGACAATTATCTCGAATAACAACACCACAGCTACTAGCAACGCCGCTATGCTGCTGTGAGGTAGCCATTCCACAATGTTATGGGTCATACACAATCTTGATCTTGGAGTTGTTCTGACGTACGCCCTGTAACTCCTTCAGCATTCAACTAGGCCCCCTGGTGTTTTTTTTAGCTAGCCAAAAATACTCAAATGGTGAAAACCCTAAGCTTAAATTTGTACAAAAAATTCGACACAACCTCCCTTAGTAGTATAGCATTTCCCAAAACCTTAAAACAGTAAAATAATAGTAATTCACAACCCGCAACACATTTTCACAATCCAGCAAATTTTCATCATCATAAAAGTAATAGTTTTAAAATGAAAAAAAAATACAACGTAGTGAGAATTAGAAAAAAAAACTACCTGGTGGCTGGGAGGCCTCACTCTCAACTCTGGATGCCAAGGAAGTCTGATCAAAAGGCTCTGGGTCGCGGCAGCGTCGGTGAGGCCGCCGTGCACTGAGCGACTCAACGGACACTGATGACGTCAATGAGACGGGCACTTGGGACGCCGTAGAAGTAGCCTCAACATTGGGTGTAGGCTCCCTAATCAATGGAGCACTCATGGCTGGAGCAGTAGATGCTGATAATGTAGGAGGCGCATTGGTCACACTCCGACGACGAGTAATCAACTTCGACATCTATAAGTAGGAATGAAATGAATCTTCTCGTTCCGCATTATAATTGGAGAGTGTTAAGTAGGAAAGGTAAACCCTTTCAATGCAATACTTGAAAAAGAAATAACATGAAAATAAAAATAATAATAAAATAAAACTGAAAGAGAAAACAACATTTAGAATTTAGTGCCTGGGGAAAGTAAACAGCTATAGTTCTTCAACATTTATGGTTAGATGGAATGCTTTGATTGCACACATTTTACCTGTAGTAGGCCGGCTAGATATATGAAAGACTTATCCTGTAAATAAAATATGATGTTTTAGTAAACCACGCCTAGCGATATTTCGTATCATTTTTCAAATTGAAAGCACAAAGATGGAGTCAAAACATTAAACAAACTACAGCGATCGAAAAGGAAGTTCAACCATACACCAAGGGAAAAAAGGAACTCTTTGCGTATATATATTATCGGTCTTTATCTTAAATTACTTGCAGTGGGAATCACAATAAAGATACATATTAGTTATATTTGGTCTTCAAATACGCATACAAAACGACCTCTATCCGCATGCAAACTTAAAGCCTCGGATTTTCCTAAATTGTTTCACAAACTTTTGCAACACTCGTACTACTAAAGATCACAGGACATATTGTCTGTTTTCAACTAGTGTATCCTTTCTCGGTCATATTGTCTGCTTAAGGAAAATCAAATAGATACGAGTTGCCTGCCTATTATTGGTGTGATTTCAACTGTTTGACATAATTTACATACAAAAATATGGGACCGAGGAGCATGACTGAAAATCAATTGGTCAGCTATAAGAGAAAACGATTATAAATACCCCAAACTATAGAACATAGACCACACAAACTTTAGAACATAGTTGTAACATCTCAACCTTATAACTTCCTCTCTGGACAGACAGGGTGCTTTGACTCATACTCAGAGCAAAAAATAGTTCGGAACAAAACACGACACAAGTGTAGACATAGAAACAAAGAGATGAACTCCAAACAGGAAACAAGGACAAGAATATATCACAGCTTCACTCGTTGCAACGTACGGGAACCACATCTATCCCTATTAAAGGTGGCCCAACGTGGCTCAATACTTAATGCCATCAAATTAAATACATGGAATACAAAGGTGTTAAAGAAACAAAATTTATCTTGTAAACTATACCTAAATATGTAGGACTATAAGCTATTAATTAACATAGATGTGGTAATCAAGTTAATAAGCTAGAGAGAATACCACTAAACAAAAGAACAGAAAAACACAAAACCACCTTTCTCCAATAAGTAGTTTTAATAGACATAATCAAGCCATCTTATTCACATCGGATTAAAGAACTTGCAATGATCATAATCACCATGAAGCCAATGCCAGCAATCTCCATAAAAATTTGTAGAAAACTGAAATGGTATTATGTGTTTATGTAAAGGATACTAATCATACTCACCCTGGGGTTTAAAGTTAAATACAGGAGGAAGAAATGCAGCAATTTGGTAACGATAAATTTGTGACAAAAACCCTAAATAACAAAAACCCATCGAAAATCAGAAACCCTTACCTTGATTTTAGGACTTGATTCGCGTGGCTTCGAGATTCCCGTGACGGCCTGTTGTTTGGGTTCAAGGTTTGGGTTCGACAACCCAAGAGGAAAGACAAGATTTGGGGTCAACGGGGAAAGAAATAGGGAAAGAAAGAGAGAGGGATTTGGGGTCTAAAGGGAAAAAAAAGGGAGGGTTCAAGATCTGGGGTCTACGAGGAACATTGAAAAAAGAGCTTGAAGGTTCAGCTTTTTTTAATAACTCCAAAACTGGGAAGGACAAGTTCATGGGAGGGATGGTTCAATTATTTTGTCAAAAGTTGGAAAATTGAAAAAAAAACGCCCATTTTTCACTATTGGACCGCCAAATTTATCATAACTCGCGCGACGCACGTAAACGTACGTCGTGCCAAACGGCTTTGCGCGACGCATGTATTCATCGCGCAAAGTCGACGAAAAAGGGGGAAACTTTCTTTATTTGGCGCCAAGATCTTGCGAGACGCACCAAACGTCGCGCAAAGGTTGTTTGCGCGACAGACAAAGTTATGCGCCGCTCAAAACATCTTTACGCAATTCGTCGCGCAAACGTCCTTTGCGCGACGTTTGGTGTTTAGGATCGCGCAAACATACTTTGCGCTACGAAATTTGTTGCGTCGTGCAAGATTCCGTCACGCAAACATGTTTTTCTACTAGTGATTGTTGAACATCTCATATTGTATGATATGGATAAAGATTACAAAAACGCTTGGTGGCGACATCATGGCGAGCAAAACATTGGAGAGCAAAATATGGCAATTGGAGAAGAAGAAACAGGAGATGAGGTGATTGGCATGCATGATTTTCTTAATGATGTATTTGTCCAACCATTAACAGAAGAATGTGTTGGGCCGTCTATTGAACCCTCTATTAGGGAAGGGTGTCCAGAAGAGGTGGAGACTTTTTTTAGGTTGCTTGAAGAGGCAGATCAAGATTTGTGGCTAGGTTGTAAGGAGTTTAAGAAATTGGAAGCAGTTGTAAGACTGTATCAGATTAAGTGTTTAGCGGGAATGCCAGACGAGATCTTCACCATTTTACTGGAGTTAATTAAAAGAATGTTGCCTGAATGGGATTGTTTGCCTGAAACCTGTTACAAGGCAAAAAAACTTATAAATGACTTAGGTCTATCATATGTCAAAATTAATGCATGTCCCAGTGATTGCATGATCTATTGGAAAGATACTTCGGATTTGACCATGTGCTCGGTTTGTGGTAAATCAAGATATAAAATTACCAACGCAGAGGATAGCTCGAGAAAAAAGATCGCAGCTAAGGTTATGTGGTATTTTCCTTTAAAACCATGATTGCAACGATTTTTTTATGTCGAAGCATATGGCTGAACATATGAGGTGGCATGCAACTGAATGTCCTAAGGATGAGTTTATGAGACATCCTTCAGATTCTCCAGCATGGAAGCATTTGGATAATTTATATCCAGATTTTGCGTCAGAAATTCGAAATGTCCTATTGGGGTTGGCCAGTGATGGATTTAATCCTTTTGGGAAAATGAGGAATGACCATAGCACATGGCATATGGTGCTTTTTGTTTACAATTTGCCGCCTTGGATATGCATGAAGCAACCAAATTTGTTGTTGTCTCTGTTAATACCACGACCACTCAATCCTGGTAAAGAGATTGATGTATACATGCGTCCATTGATTGACGAGCTGAATGAGTTGTGGGAGGTCGGCACTCCCACTTATGATGCGTATTCCAACCAAAGTTTTATGATGAAGGCTGCTGTCTTATGGACTATAAGTGATTTTCCGGCTTATGGAATGTTGTCAAGATGGAGTACACATGGTTATAAAGCTTGTCCACATTGCATGCATGATAAAGAATCTATTTACTTGCTAGAGAGTCGTAAGATTTGTTATATGGGGCACCAACGCTTTCTTGAAGATAATCATATGTTTCAAAGGCAAACCATAGCTTTTAATGGTCGCCGAGAGCATCGTAGTGCACCAAGGTAGTAGACTGGTTTACAATGTCTCGAAGAACTTTCTACATTGAGATTTACTTTTAGAAAACCAAACAAAGATGCTTCAGTTGGGCAACACAGAAGAAAAACTTCGAACAGTACAAGTAGTAACAGTCAGTGGAAGAAGAAATCTATTTTTTATGAACTACCTTATTGGAGGCATCTGTTGATTAAACACAATCTTGATGTTATGCATATCGAGAAGAATATATGTGATAGTGTGGTGGGAACATTGCTAGATATAGAAAAGTCTAAAGATGGATTAGCTGCACATGTAGATCTTGAATTCTTGAACATAAGACGTAGTCAATACCTACGTACAGAAGGAAATAGAACATTTCGACCTCCAGCATTGTTCACGTTGAACAGAGAAGAAAAAACTACGTTTTGCAAAGTGTTGTCTACTATTCGGGTCCTCATTGGATATTCATCAAATTTGTCGCGATATGTACACGTGAATGAACGAAAAATACATGGGTTGAAAAGTCATGATTGCCATGTTTTCATGCAGCAGTTACTCCAACTTGCAATACGCCTGGTTTTGCCAAAAGCTGTTAATATGGTATTATTAGAGTTGAGTGCAATTTTCAGACAATTGTGTAGTAAGAAGGAGTCCAATGAAGGATTCAAGCAACTGAATTCAATAATTGCCTTAACATTATGTCAACTTGAAAAAATATTCCCTCCTGCATTTTTTGATATAATGGTGCACCTCCCAGTTCACTTGGCAGATGAAGTAGCTCTTGCAGGGCATGTTCAATATAGATGGATGTATCCAATTGAACGGTAATGAATAATTTTTTTATAAATTTTTTACAATTGTAGTAACTTTAATTAATAATTATAATGATTTGTATTTTGTTTTATAATTGTAGGTATTTGCAAACACTAAAGCGCTATGTTCATAATAAGGGTCGTCCTTAAGGTTCTATTGCTGAAGCATATTTGGTGGATGAGTGCTTGTCCTTCTGTTCCATGCATCTTAGAAACGTTGGGTCTCGTCGTACCCGTAGAGGCCGAAATGAAGATGGTATTGGACGTGGAGTATCTGGTGGGTTAGAACCGACAGTAGGGTGGATATATATTGAATTTTATCTGACGTCGGTTTAGGTATATTTTATTTATTGAATTTTATCACAATGTCGGTTAGGACCGACAGTAGGGTGGATATATATTATAATTAAATTGCTAAGTTTGAATATTTTATTTATTTAATTGTTATCTAACGTCGGTTTAGGTATATTTTATTTATTTAATTTTATGACAATGTCGGTTAGAATCGACAGTAGGATGGATATATTATAATTAATGTTCAAGTATACGTCGCTTTAAACCGACATCAATGTCAGTGTCGCTTTTAAACGACGTTGCATAGTGGCGGATTAAGCGAGCAAACCGACACTGAAGGCCTTTCGTGACGCTAGCATTAGTGTCACTATTCCAATTCGACATTACATTGTTTTATGTCGGATTTTTGCCAAATTTCCGACAGAAATTGGGTTTCTTGTCGGTTTTTGCTTCGCCGGTGATAGCCTATATTGTAGTAGTGGTAGAATGACATAGATTATAAAGTATTAAAACATATTGAAAGCATGGGGAACAAGCATAAAATGAGTGTTCATCCAAATATTCAACAAGTCTCTTATAATTTAGTGAAAAAAAATAAAATACAAAATGAAAGTTATCTATGTTCTGTCTAAGTGAGAGTTGTGATCTAGGCGGGTCTAGGCGGGCATAGGCAAGCTGTTAAAATATTCAACATTTCTTACAGGTCTGAATTACGATAGTCCTAAGAATTAGT